TTTACCACATGGCAGGGAAAGAATGAGAAACACAAGGGAAAACAATGATTTACATTGATATAACTATAATATGAAGTAACATACAACTAAAACAACAGTTGGATAGCTATTCCTACTTTATTGGTTAGGATTTTTAATTGCATAATGCAAACTGTTGATTTTCAAAATAAAAAAAACGTTCATGCCCCGCATTCCAATGCTGGAGCAGAAAAGCTTGAAATACCTACCAAAACACTTGAATAAAGACATACTGTCAGTATGGAAATGCTCTGTGCAGGTGTTAATCAAGTTAAATCCCAACAGCCAATCAGCAAGAAATGCTCTGTGCAGGTGGAAATGCTCTGTGCAGGTGTTAATCAAGTTAAATCCCAACAGCCAATCAGCAAGAAGTATAGAGGAAAGCTGCATGCCTATTGGTTGATGCCCTGCATTCCATTGTGATGACTCATGCCCAGACATGGTAAACACGGCAGACTAACACAGTAATACATTTGCTATAACACAGCCAAAAAAACTCAAATAAAACCATTCTAAAAGGTTGTATCACAAAAATTTAAAAAACGCCTAGGGGTATTTGCCCACTGTACCTCCATACCAAATTTCAGGACCTTAGGCCCTAAAATGAAGAAGCTGAATCCATTTAAAAAATGGCAGGAGAAGAAGGAGGAGAAGGAGAAGAAACATCAGAAAAAGCAATATGGGTTCACCACCACTTCGTGGTGTGGTGAACCCATAATAAAGAGATAACTGCTGCACACTAAAATAATTACTTCTCGTGAAGCGGTCCTAACCGTCAGACTACACATTCAACTTTGAAATTCGATATGTAATTTCATTCATCACAGATGGAGTAGCGTTTCCTTGTAATGTTCCAAAATCATGTTTTAATTTTGCCTGCAGCTACTTGCCGGAAGTGATTAAGATTCATTACAGAAAATCTGCACGAAAACAGCCAATCCAGAACGTTATCACATAATGAACAGGTTTGTGTTAGATATACACAGAAAATGGGAGAGGATCAAAAGGCAATACTGGAGGCAGAATGAAGGCATTATACAAATACAACAACAATGCCATATTCTATTCGTTGTATTTGCCTCAGCACTCAAACTTGCGACCAAGGCTGTTATTATGGGTTCACCACACCACGAAGTGGTGGTGAACCCATATTGCTTTTTCTGATGTTTCTTCTCCTCCTTCTCCTTCTCCTTCTCCTCCTTCTTCTCCTGCCATTTTTTAAATGGATTCAGCTTCTTCATTTTAGGGCCTAAGGTCCTGAAATTTGGTATGGAGGTACAGTGGGCAAAT